GCGGGAGCCGCGCCCCTCCCCCCCGCGGGTGCACACACACACACACACACACACACACACACACACACACACACATACACACACGCCTGTGCCCAATCCCTCCACAACACTAAGTTAATCCTCATACTTAGACAAAAATCCCAGAAAGAGTTTGGTTGAGGTAAATGGAATAATCTTGAATGGAATGAAATAAAGTCTACACTAGGGCTTAAAATTTAATTAAATCCAGTTATACAAAATACATTTTTTGCACATTATGGGCTGTGAGGTGAATGTGCTCATTAGCTGCACAAGCTATATTCTGTAAATAGGTTCTAAGATCGTAATAATAGTAATAGGCATATTAAGTTTTAGCTACGTGCTATACTTTTTCTAAGTCTTCTATAAAACTTAAATTTATTTTTATATTTTTATTTTATGTCAGTCTTTTTTTTTTTTTTAAAGACAGGGTCTCAGGACCAGCAGGTGGCATGGAGGTTGAGGTTCTGGACTCCCACACGGCCGACCACGGTTCATGGTTTGCTGGTGGTTTGTTTCTCACTTTCTTTTTCTTTTTCCCTCTCTCTCTCATCAAATTAGAAAATAATTTAAAACCTAAATAAATAATTCATTAAAAGAAAAGGAAAAAAAAAAAAAAAAAAGGAAGGGTCTTTTAGGCCACAACCCTTTCCTCAGCCTCCCAGTGGCTGGAACTTCGGTAGCATAGGCAGCTTTTCAGCATAGGCTGTGAATCGAACCTGGGCCTCAGCCTCCTGAGTAGCAGCACCAACCAGCACACTGAGGCTTGGCTATATGACAGCCTTTAAAACCTCATAACAGCATTCACTGGATCATCTCCTGAGCATCCCATACTGGTGCTCACACTAATTGCACTCATTTTGGTTTGTGTCCATGATCTCATTAACAGCAAGAAGTGTGATTTATTAGTCAAGAGCTATGAGAAAATGGCAAAGTTAGATTTAATAGGCACGAGCTATATTCAGTTCAGGGATGGCCAAAGGAACTCTAGATGAACTGAGTTTGAGATAAACCAACTTTGGCAATTTTTTAAAAAAATTTTGTTCTAGGGCACATGTGTTCACTGGAGAGAGAGAGAAAAAATAATCAAGCACCCCTCACCCCAGGAAGGATGGCCATGTCACAGTCCCTCCTCCTCCATTCTCCTCTCAAGATTTTAACCACTCTCACACACTTGCCCGGCATGTCTCTCAAGCTGCCAGGTTCAGAAATTGAATCGTGAAATCGACTGTGTGGGGTATAGCCCCGTAACTACATGTCACCAGCTGAATCCACTGAACAGTGAAAGGAAATAGAGCCCTTATGAAACATGTAACTAAACTCAAAGGAACCTATGCTTTAGCAACGGTTTGAGAAAAATTCAACATAATCTAACACATTTTTTTGTATTTGCTGGTTTTGTGGGGTTTTTTGTATGTCATTTTATAAATTTGTCTTTGTTCTCTTATGGTATAAATATCTCTTATGGTATTAAAAAATATCATAAGGGGACCAGCAGATGGCATAGTGGTTAAATCGCTGGACTCCCATGTAGTTAACAGTGGTTCAAGTCCCAGACCTGGCAGCTTAAAACTCATGCCAGCTGCATGTGCGTGCACGCCCAAAACCCCAGAAAGAGAATGGTGGAAAAGGGGTTGTGGCATAGCCATCCCCCCTGGGGGGTAATTTCTCACTTTCCCTCTCACTGTCTCTGTCTCTCTTTCTCTGGCAAGTGCATGCATCTTAAGGCAAAAGAAAAAACATTAATTTTTTTAAAGTCACTAGATATCGAGATTAAAGAGTAATAGTTACCTTTTTAATCATTTCCAAGTAGGGAAGAACCTTAATTTTTTTTTAAAGTCACTAGATATAGAGATTAAAGAGTAATATTTACCTTTTTAATCATTTCCAAGTAGGGAAGAATTAAACATTGTAATAATTTGGGATGTTGTTTTACCAAGTAGAGTTATATATATATATATATAGGTTGACTAATTAAGTACCAGTGATAAACATGCATTGTTCTTATGTCAGTCAAAAGACATTTGCTCCATATTTATTATGTACCAGGCACATGGGTAGGTGCTAAGGGTAGTTATAGAGGTGGAGAAGTCATAATCCATGCCTTCAAAAGAATTTATAAATTCATTTCACCTAGATAAATTTGACTAGCCACAAAAAGATTAAGGACATTTTGAAGGCCATAAGTGGGATTTTTAAAATTTTCTTTATAGATCTGTTTTACTTTTTAAAGTTGATGTACAAATGCTTCCCTATTTTTAATAATATATTACAAATAGATAACAAAAATCACACCCACTTGTAAAGAAGTGACTAATAGGTTTTACACAATCTGATCATTTGAATGTTCTTAAAATGTCCCCGAGGTGTCTTATGTGACTGGGTCCTCTGTTTATTTTGGTGTTATCCTTGGCATCTGGCAACTCCAATTTGGCATACTATTTTAAAGATTCTGTTCAAGGGACAGTTTTTTTTGTTTGTTTATTTTGAGAGAGAGATTTTTGTCATAGGCATATGCACTTGTCACAGAGATAGAAAGTGAGAAATCACCCCGCAGGGGGGATGGCCACACTATAATCCCTTCTCCTGCATTCTCCTCTCAGGATCTTGGGCACACACACACATGCACCTGGCATGAGTTTTAAGCCACCACATCAAGGACTCAAACCGTAGTCAAATACGTGGGAGTCCAGCAATGTAACCATTACACCACCTGCTGGTCCCTCCAAGGCATAGTTCTTATGCTGCTTACAGTGTCCGGGAAGTTAGAAGAGTGACTAACATATGGTAGCTAGTCCATAAATATTTGTTGAATGAATAAATATAACAATAAATAGATAAACTTATTTGTTCACTTTGTTCTTTCCTCAAAGTTTTATGCATTTATTGTCTGTGACCCCCTCTTCAGGAGAGTAATCACACAGAACTTTACATTGGGTAATTTTCCTATCTTATGTGTTATATTTTATACATTCTAAACAAATAGAGTATATTTTTTTTTTTATTTTGCCAGAGAGCACATGTGCTCACTGGAGAGAGATACAGAGAGAGAGAAAAAGTGAGAAAGCCCTCCCCGTGAGGAAAAGTCATGCTGCAATTCCTTTTTTATTTCTCCCTCCTTTCAAGATTTTTGGAGGAGCACACATACCCATATGCCCAATATGGTTTCCAAGCTGCTGGTCTGGGGTTTAAATAATGAGGATGGCCATGTGGGAGCCAAGTGCCTTAGTCACCACCCCATGGGCCCGAGTATGTAAATTTTATTATAATTCCCTACTATCACCATTCCAGATCTGTGTTCCTGCTACATAAAATATTTGTTATGTAAGCTATCATTACTTTCTTCTTTCTTTCCCTCTACTTCCTTCCCATATGTCTTTCTCAGTTAACTTAAGCGCATGAAACTGTACTTTTAAATATTTATTGAATAAAGTTATTCTCCTGAATCTTTATTTTAAAAGATACAATTTCAAGTTTCTCTTTAAAAACTAAAATACCAGGACCAGCAGTTAGCGTAATGGCTATGTCACTGAACTCCCACGTAGTCGACTGTGGTTCACGTCCTGGACCCGGTGGCTTAAAACTCACACCGGGCGCGTGTGCGTGCGTGCCCAAGATCCCGAGAGGAGAATGGAGGAGAAGGGATTGTGGCGTGACCACCCCTCCTGGGGGGTGATTTCTTGCTTTCTGTCTCTCTGTCTCTCTCTGTCTGTCTGGCAAGCGCACGCGCCCTATAGCAAAAACCTCTTAAAAAAAAAAAAACTAAAATACCACAACCAATTAAATTTAACCATAAATTTCTTTTAACTGTGTATGAGGTTGTGAAATAGGAAAAAGTTTACTTATATCTAAGCTAAATAGCCTACAGGCTTTTCCTAGAGATCACTGACAGCCCAATGAAGGTGAGGGGGTACGAGGAGACAGGAGCAAAGAAGGAGAAGATGGAAAGGTGCCTGGTGAAAGTGAAGAGTCCAGTCCAAAGGACTTCAACATTCACACCATGCAACCTTAACGCAGAGAGAGTTGCCGTTCGTAAGATGCTTACCTTTGCAGCCCTCACAGGTCAGTGCATTATAGTGGTATCCGGATGCTCTGTCCCCACAAACAACACACAGTTCGTCCCCTTTGATCCGTCCCGCTGATGTTCCCATCCGGGGCTTATTGGCTACAGGCATCTCTGCTACCTCGGTCTCCCCCTGGTAGAGAGTCTCGGCTGGCATTCGCTTGAGTTCATATATTCCAGGAGAGTACCATTCTTCAGGCTGCTGGGGGTAGAAACCCAGGTTGGAATAATAGGATGATGAGGAAATCTGTGGTTGCACTTGGGGAAACTGAACATTGTATTGTGAATATGGTTCCACTTCTAGATTCTGTCCCAGAGGTGCTGGCACTTGTTCTGTTAATACACCTGAACAAAAGGGGCAACATGATGGAAATTAGTATTGCCATTCTAGAATTAGAGAGGCAGTTTAGCATGATGGTTAGGCATGGGGGCTCTAAGAAAAGTCTGAAAAATATTTATATATATAAGTAAGTGACAAATGACAAGTTCAGGAAGAGATCTGCAACAAGAGGACAGACCAAAGATGCATTCATTAATATGTAAAGAGCTCTTGCAAACCAATAAGAAAACATGTAACAGTCCATAGAAAAAAAGAATAAATGAGATGAGTTGACAATTTCTAGAAATTTGATCATAAGTAGTTTTATTTTTAGTTTTTTTTGTTATTGTTGTTATAGGGTGTGCACACTCGCTGGAGAGAGAGAGAATGGGAACATGAGAAATCACTCTCCAGCGAGGATGGCCACACTGCAATCTCTTCTTCTCCATTTTCTTCTCAGGATTTTGGGCACACACTGCACATGTGCCTAGCATGATTTTCAAGCCTCCAGGTTCAGGACTCAAACCACACAGCTTGTCATGTGGGGTCCAGAACTATAATCTCCATGGCACCTGCTGATCCCAACCAAAAGTATTTTATAAACAAACAAAAATGCACTCACTATTGCCAATAGTTAAATTGCAATAGTAATAAAACAGTTTTCATCATCAAACGTGTAAAACTTCTAAAAATTTGGAAACATACACTCTTGGAAAAACAAACATTCTTGGAGGGCAATTTGTCAATATCTTTCAGCATTTAAAACTCAAATACATTTTTCACTCAGTATAAATTTTCCACTGCTAGAAAATTCATTTCTGAGATAGGCTTGAACCTGTATGAAAGTGTTTTGTAAAGAAATTCTTTTGCAGCCATTTTGTCAAGTCCATAAATTGAAAACAATTTAAATATCCATCAATAGGAGTCTGGTTAAAAATGTCTCTTACATCTGTACCCTGAAATAGTATGTAGATATAAAACAATCTTTTAGTTTTCTATGTGCTAATATGGAAAAATATCTATAATATGGTGCTATTTGAAAAAAGTAGGCTATAGAAAAATGTGGTTATTTACATGGGAATTAAAAACACTATTTATGCATGTATTTTTATGCAAGCCAGATTTCTGCGTGACACAAAAGAAAACTGAATGGAGGTAATTGTGGGAGGTGATATTAATGCATTATTTAGGAGACTGCACAATCTTTTTGTTTGTCATTTTTTCCATGTGTATTATTATTTTAATCATTATAAAACAAAGGAGGAGTTTTGAAAAAAAGGAAAAAGGGAAGAAAAAAGAAGAGAAGAGAAAAGAAAGGAAAGGAAAGGGAAAGGGAAAAGGGAAAGGAAAAGGAAAAGGAAAGGAAAGGAAAGGAAAGAACAGAACAGAACAGAAAAAGAAAAAGGAAGAGCCAGATGGTGGCACAGTGTAAAATGCCATACTCTTCAAGGAAATCCCACGTGGAAAATTTCTCAGTTAAGGCTCAGAGAATTCTCTGAGTATGCCAGGCACATGCCTGCCCATGATCTGGAGCTGTCTAATGCTGAGGATGGATCATAGCATGGTACGCTATGGGGTGTGCTGTCTTTCTGTCTGTCTGTCTGTCTGTCTCTTTCATGGAAGAAATAAAGCAACATTAAATAAATAAATAAATAAATAAATAAATAAATAAATAAATAAATAAATAAATAAATTGCCTAGAATCTGTGTAGCTGGATGCAAATCCCTGCTCTGTTACTTACTGCTTGTGTATAGTAGTAGCAATTTACTTAACATCTTTAAGTCACAGTTTTCTTTTCATAAAATGGAGAATAATATCTATCACACTGGGGTGATATAAGGATTAAATGAAATAAAAATAAAAACATGCCAACCACTTTTCTAAATGTTTGGTACACAGAAACTGCTCAATAAATTATAACTGATAATAAAATAATAATTCTAAGGGACCAGCAGATGGTGTGATAGTTATGTTCCTGGACTCCCATGTAGTCAACTGCGGTTCAAGTCCCAGACCTGGTGACTTAAAACTCATGCCAGGCATGTGTGCATGCATGTCCAAGATCCTGAGAGGAGAATGGAAAAGAGATTGCAGCATGGCCATCTCCCTGGGGGGTGATTTCTCACTTTCTGTCTCTCTGTCTCTCTCTCTCTCCAGCAAGTGCATGTGCCTGATAGCAAAAATCTCTCTTTAAAATAATAATAATAATTCCTACTACTTTTTTGTTTCTTTTTGCTATAGGGTATGGGCACTTGCCAGAGAGAGACAGTGAGAGGGAAAGTGAGAAATCATTCCCCCAGGGAGGATAGCATTGGTGAAATCTCTTCTCCTCCACCCTCTTGCCAGGATTTTGGGCGCATATGCACACACACACACCTGGTGTGATTCTCAAGTTGCTGGGTCTAGGATTCAAAATGGTGAAGCTGGCCATGTGGCCTTATCCTTCACACCACCTGCTGACCCCCCATTACCTTTATTCTTAAATGAACCCTTTATCTATAAAACCTCTAGATACAGAAAAACTGTCAATTATGAAAATGCTTCTATGTTCTGTAAATAAGCGAAAGCTCATTAGTAAACCAGTATTTGTCATACAAAACATTAAAAAAAATAGACATAAACAAGAGAGTGTACAGATGTATCTGATTCTTCAAACAAGCCTGAACCAAAATTCCAACTCCATCTCTTATGAACAATGAGACTGAGCAAACCACTGATGAACTTCTGTATTTACAGCACAAGCCTTGGGTAAGACAATACAGGTCCACGGTTCCTAGTCTGTAACCCTTGGGGTAAGGTGTGTTTCAGAATTCAGAAGTTTTTGGATTTTAGAAGATAATGCACTGCTATTTACATAGTCTGTGACACTCCCAGCATGGTCTGGGACAAATCCCAGAATCAAACACAGTATTATTTTCCACAGTCAAATACAGTCTTCAAAAAGCCCATGGAAAATGCATATTATGAAAAAATTATGCATGAAGTTCAAAAATTTTTGTACAAAAAAACTCATACTTAATTTTATTTCTCCACAAACTTTTTTTTTCTTCTTTTATTTATTCTTTTTTGAGAGATTTTCGCTATAGGGTGTGTGCGCTCGCCAGACAGTCAGAGAGAGACAGAGAGATAGAAAGCAAGAAATCACCCCCCAGGGGGGATGGTCATGCCACAATCCCTTCTCCTCCATTCTCCTCTTGGGACCTTGGGCACGCACGCACATGCACCCAGTGTGAGTTTTAAGCTACCGGGTCCGGGACGCGAACCGCGGTCGACTATGTGGGAGTCCAGCGACATAGCCATTACGCTAACTGCTGGTTCCCTCCACAAACTTTTTGAAGTCCCCTCGTATATGAATATTTATACTAATTAGTGTAAATAAAGACTATAAATAGTTTTGTATCCCTCAGGTCAGGTTTTGCCACCAAATAAGTTTGTGCCAGGTTTTCTTAAAAAAGTTTGGTTTTCAGTCCTTTTGGAATTTAGAATGAGAGATTAGGAACTACAGATCTCTGCAGGTACACACGTTGAATGCTCTTATTGCACTCAAAAGATGGTTGACATTATTATCATCACTATTATTACCAGAAACCTTTTATGCAGTCCTTCCCTGTGCAACACACTTGTATATTCTCATTTACTTCTTACAAAATTCTATGCAGTAGGTAACATTATCTTCCACTTACAAATGAGTACCCCAAGGCACAGAGATCTTAAGCAACTATACTTGTAGTATAAAATAGCTGAGCTTTGAACTTTGGGAGTCTGACCTCAAAGCCCAGGGGCTGAATCACTACTCTCTGGAGTCATTTCTGACATAGGATGCTTCAAAATCATGACAGAGCCGTCTTCTTCTTTCTCTGTGTGTACCTGAGTTTGTAACCCCTTTTGATATCTCTGCTTACTTGGAACCTCTCACAATGCCTGCAAGGCTCTGCACAATTGTATTCTTACTTTCTTTCCAGCTACTTTCCATTTTCTGACTCCTCTGTTCCTTGAATGTATTTTGTTGCTTCTCAACCTGTGAGTTTTCCATGTGCTCCTTCCTGAGCCTGGAACCTTCTTTAACACAGCCATCCCTTTCTAAAGTTTTTTTATTATTATTTTTTAGAAAAATGCTTGCTCTAGGGCACAGAGAAACAGAAAGTGAGAAATCACCATGTACTTGACCACCATGAGTTTAAAGCCACTGGTTCTAGGACTCAAACTGCAGTTGACTATGTGGAAGTTGAGCAGCATAATCATTATGCCATCTGCTGGTCTCCTCCTTTCCAAAGTTTTAGCTTACTAATTTCCATCTTTAAAAACCATTACTTGGGCCAGCCAATGGTGTGGTGGTTAAGGGGGCTGGATCTCACATGGCCGGCTACACAGTTTAAGTCCTAGACCGGGTAGCTAGAAAAATACACTGGGTTCATGTGCATGTATGCCCAAAAATCCCAAATGGAGAAGAGATTGTGGCATGAGCATCCCCCAGGGGTTTCTCTCTCTCTCTCTCTTCTTTCTTCTTTCTCTCTCTTTCTCTGGTGAGCACATGCACTCTCTAGTAAGAAAAACAAAACCAAAAACCATTGGTCACCTACCATGTCTGGGTTTCCCTTTGCTCATCTGTAAGAGAAGATTCCATACTAGATTATCTAGTCTGTATTTTTATCTAAAATTCCCAGAAGAATAAGAGGGCTTCAAAAAGTTCACGGAAAATATGTATTATAAAAAACCACTCAGATTTCCAAAAAATTTCAGCATCCAAATAAATTTGTACTCACTTGTTATAACATGTCTTAACAGGATCTAATTTGAGGCACTAAGATAAAACCTCAATAAAGCTCTTATCAGAGCAATATGAGTTCTGATAGACTGAAACAAGAATAAACATCAAATTGATAGTTAAGGTTGGGAGGAAGAATGGTGAAATCATTGATCCTTTATGAGGGACAGTGCATCATAGTTTATGGGGACAATGTATCAAAGAAATATATATTTTTTTAAAGTCCACGGATGATTTTTTTCACAATATACATTTCCCGTGAACTTTTTTTTTTTTTTTGAGAGGTTTTCACCATAGGGAGCGTGCGCTCGCCAGACAGACAGAGAGAGACAGAAAGCAAGAAATCACCCCCCAGGGGAGATGGTCACGCTGCAATCCCTTCTCCTCCATTCTCCTCTCGGGATCTTGGGCACGCATGCACACACGCCCGGCGGGAGTTCAAAGCCACTGGGTCTGGGACGCAAACCGCGGTCAACTACATGGGAGTCCAGCGACATAGCCATTACGCTAACTGCTGGTTCCCAGAAAGCAGAAATTTATAAACAGAGAACTTGTTTCAAGAAGAGAGAAGAGGGATCAGCAATTAGCATAATGGCTATGTCGCTGGAATCCCATGTAGTTGACTGTGGTTCAAGTCCCAGACCTAGAGGCTTAAACGCACACTGGGCATGTGTGTGCGTGCCCAAGATCCTGAAAGGAGAATAGAGGAGAAGGGATTGTGGCGTGGCCATTCCCCCTTGGGGGCGATTTCTCACTTTCTGTCTCTCTGTGTTTCTGGAGAGCACACGTGCTATATAGCAAAAAACCTCTCAAAAAAGAAAACATAAAAAGGAGGGATAAGACAATGTTGAAGATGATGCTCACATACATAGAGAATTCATAAAAATATGCAAGGAAAAAGTTAATCTTGTCCATGCCCTAACTGAAGAGGCCTAACAATTAACAGCAGAAATAATAGTCAATATCACATACATCTCAAGTGGTTCAGCTTACACAATTTTGACTGAAAAATAAAATTGGACAAACTTTCTGCTCAATAGGTGCCAAAAAATGTTGCACCCAGATCAGCTACAGATCAGAGCAGGTTCAATGAAAGCTGTAAACAACAGAATCAAGAACCTGAAGCATTTTTTTCAAAGAAGTATGGAACACGATGATACATGGCATTACCAGTATAATCGTGAAGATAAAGCACAACCAAAGCAATAGTTTCAAGATGAGGAAGTGGTCCCATCAAAGCAAAAGTGAACCAGTCGGGAACAAAAGTCATGAGGACAGTATTTCAGGATGCTGGAAGCATTTACTTGTTGACTTTCAGGAGGGTTAAGGAATGATAACATCCACTTATTATGAGAGAGTTTTGAAAAAGCTGATGATGCTTTAGGCAAAACAAAACAAAACAAGAAAACTTCCTGAGTCTTTCTTCACCATGACAATATTCCTGCTCATTCTTCTTATCAAGGGCAATTTGACAAGAATGTCAATGGAAAACCATTAGACATCCACCTTATAGTTCTGATTTGGTTCCTTCTGACTTATTTGTGCTTCCTCATCTTAAAGATAAACAAACAAACAAAAAAACTTTAAAGGGTACCCATTTTTCTTCAATTAAACATAAAAAAGACTGCATTGACATAGTTAAATTCCCAGGAGCTTTAGTTCTTTAGAGGTGAACTAAAAGGCTGATGTCATTCTTTACAAAAGCATCTTGAACCTGATGCAGCTTTGAGAAATAGGTTTATTTCTTTAATTTTAATTTTATTTTATTATTTTGCCAGAGGACATATGCTCACTAGAAAGAGAGAGAAAGACAGAAATCACCTCCCAATGGAGCTTGGTCATGCTACAACACCATTTCCTCTATCCCTCCTTGTCAGGATTTTGGGCATGCACACATATATACCCAGAATGTTCTTCAAGCTACCAGGGCTAGAATCTAAACCACAGTTGGCGATGTGGGAGCCAGCTTCCTTAATTGTTGAGCTATGAGGCCAGCCCCGTTTTTATCTTTTAATTTCATTTGTCCACAAACGTTCTGAAATCCTCTTCTATAAGGCTGACAGTTTATGAACATTCAATTCAGGAATTTTCTATAATGTCAAAGCAGACTAAAATATGTACATATTAAATATTATTGAAAAGGATCCTTTTAGTGTTGACCCAGAAAAAGACTGACAGAGCACACAATACACAGTATTTGTGCACAAATCAATTTCCTTTCTTTCATGCCTGACTTATCCATATAAAACAGCATAAAATCAGTATATCTAGCAGGTAAAACATTTCAGTAATTGTGTCTTATGATCACGAATGGAGGGACAAAAATATGAAATCATTGCACAAAAAAATAAAAGATAAAATATAAGCAAAATTCTGATTTTTTTATCACTAAATATGACTAAAATTTCTGAAAAAAAAATAGGATTGAAAGAACTATTGGATCATCAGAAAAATCATGACACATTTTTACATAGAAAAACATGTCATGACTTTTCTGACAACCCAATAAAAAATATTAAAAGCATTAGTTCCTAGATTATTCTTTTCCTAGAAAATTATAACTAGATTTTATCTTTTTTTTAAAGAGATTTTTACTATAGGGTCTGTGTGCTTTTTGGAGAGACAGAGAGAGATGGAGAGAGAGACAGAAAATGAGAAATGATCCCCCACCCTCAGGGGGATGCCCATGCTGCAATCCCTTCTCCTCCATTTTCCCTCTTGGAATTTTGGGCACACACGCACATGTGCCCAGAGTGCGTTTGAAGCCACTGGGTCCAGGACTCAAACCACAGCTGGCCATGTGGGAGTCCAGCAACATAACCATTATGCCATCTGCTGGTCCCAAATTGTATCTTCTGACTTGTCTTGTTTCTCTCAGTTGCTCTTCTCCTGAGCCCAGTTTCTCTACAACACAGGTTCAGCAAGGCTAAGTAACTGACCTGAAGTCAAATACCAAGTAATGATAGAATCTGGATTCTGTAGAACGCAAGGACATGTGTAATTTTTTTTAACATCACATGAAAATTTCAATATATCTGAACTAATATTTCAATGAAACAAATATCTTCAAATCAGATCATCATATCAGTGTCATGTCAATCTCCAGAATCAGTTAGATTAAATGGAAAAACTTTGGGTCTGGCTCACTTATTAAATATTACACGTGAGCTGGCACTTTTCCATGAGCTCACCATTAGTGTCCAATGCTCCTGAGAAAGAAACTTTCTTCTGTATAATTCTTCATCCCTGGTGTGATGCTGACCACAGTAGGTACGTATCGAATTGGAATGTAAATCGTGAATGGAAAAATAACTTTCTTCCTTCCTTTATTTCCTAAGCTATGGGTTCTTGACTGGATAACACGGCTTCACATATGGCATTGTTTGCCAAGCTCTGGGCCAAGCCTTTGTGATGCTGGTGCCTCTGCCTACCTTGTCAGCTGATAGTCCCCTCTGTGAGGTCTGCTCCAGTTTCCCCAGGGAGAATGAATCTCCTCCCTCTGTTCACACCTCTACTATGAACTTTCAGAAGCATGAACAGTGATTGTTATTTGTTTACAGGTTTATCTTCCACGCTAGAAATGATACGAGATACAATAAAGAGAGCCATACTGAGTGGACAAATCTGGAATCAGTTCAGCTACATTGCTAAAAGTTTGAACTTGGGAAAGACATCGAACTTCTTGAAGTTTCTATTCCTTCCTCTATAAAACTGGGATGACATAGTACCAACGTGAAAGGTTGTGATAAAGAGAACGAAGACAAAGAACATAAGCTTCAGAGTGTCTGACACAAACAAACACATGATACATTTCTGTTTTGGTTGTGGTTAGTCTGAGAACGCTATGGTGAAAAATAATAGATTATAACTCCCCCCCATTTTTTTTTCTCTCCTGGCACCGGACACAATGCCTGAGACGTAGTAAATGTTTAGTAAGCATTAAAGGGAAAATTTGCTTCCCCAACCTTCTATCTAATTTGCATATCTAAATAGTGTTGGTCACTTTCAAACACCACATGAAAACAAAATAGTATCCTGCCAAGTCTATGATCAAACTTATGGTCATGATTGTAATTATTACAGAAATAATTAGAACTTTTCACTGCACATTTAAAAGGTGACTTTCTGTTTTGAGAAAAATACTGAAATAATATTTATGTTATGCTGAGTTTTAATTATAACCTATGCTTTAATTTATGGAAAACAAATTCATGCTCCACGGAATCTAAGATATGCCATTCTAGAAACACTGCATTAAATAATGTACATCAAAATTGTTTTTCAAGTGTCCATTGACAACAATGTTAGGAATATCTAATATTTGCCTTAAAAGAATGGTGCTAATTTGACATGATATCCCGTGAAGACATTTAGAAAAATGTTTAGATTTAATCCCATTAAGAAACTCACCTGCTTAAAGCCCTATAAAAATCACCCCACCCCAACCTCTCACCCAGTTTTCTGGGTCTGACTGCATTATCTTCGACAGAGATCTGTTGCTGGATCTCAAACAAAAGTCTCCTAGTCCATCTGGTTGCAGACACTGGACCAAGAGCGCCTACGAACGGTGTCCTACCTTTAGCAGGCTTCACACTCATCATCTCCATGACAAATCCTGATGGTGTGCAGCTGTGGTGAGGCCTAATTTGAACTGGATTTTCTAACCCCTGAAACTGCATTACCATTCTTAGCTTATTCTCAGCAACTGAAAATGAGACTGAGTAAGGAGCAAGAGAGGCCAGAGGTTGTGTGGTTTACTGATTAACTTCATTACAGAGCAGAATATTTGTAAATGTTTATGAGAAAAGTCCTCGATCCCAAATTGCCTAGTAAGCTGGAAACCAGTCTCTTAGATAAACATTTTCAGGGAGCACTTTTTTCAGTTTAAGAACTTTTAGAGGGTAGGTTTCTGTTCCATGGCTCAAAACTGGATTTGGAGGTCCAAGCGCCATATTCTAAGTCTAGACATTTGTTTCTCTCAAAAGACCATAGAATAGTAGGACTGCATAATGGCAGAAAGCATTAAAACAATATTTAACAGCGTGAGGACTAGAGGTCAACTAGGTTGAATTGTGCCCTACCCTCCCAAATTAATATGATGAAGTCCTAACCCCCAGTACCTCAGAATGTGACCACAATGATGTGGCTATGAGTTGTCCCCCAAAGGTTTACATGCTAGAAGCCTGGCCCCACCTTATGGTGGGAGCTTTAGGAGGTGGGGCCCAGGAGGCCACTTTTGGATCATGGATATATTAATTAGACTCATAGATTAATGGCATCTGGGAATGTATTCTCTTTCACACAGGAATGGGTTAGCTCCTGTAAGAAGTGGGTGCTCTAAAGTACAATGGCTGCCCCCGGGTCACTCTCTTGCTTTGCATACACCTGCTTTCCGTCCTGCTTCTTTTGGCCATGTTGTGACATACGACCAGAGGCCACCCCACTGCTAACCCCATGCATTTGGACTTTCCAAACACCAGAATAGCGAGGCCAATAAACCTCTATCCTTTATAATCACCCGGTATCAGGTATCTATGTTTAACAACACAATAATGGACTAAAACAGTGACTTTAAATGGTAATAGGCCCCTTACAGAGGTAGTCAAATTAACATTAGGATTAAAATGAGTCCTAAAGGATCAGCTTGGTGTAATGGCTATATGGCTGGACTCCCATGTAGTCTGCCACGGTTCCGGTCCCGGGCCTGGTGTCTTAAACTCATGCCAGGTGCATGTGTGTGCGTGTCCAAGATCCCAAAAGGATAATAGAGAAGGAATTGGGGTATGGCCATCCCCTCTAGGGGGGTGATTTCTCACTTTCTCTCTGTCTTTCTGCCGAGTACATGCACCCTATAGCAAAAACCTCTCCAAAGGAAAGAAAGAAAGAAAGCAAGGAAGGAAGGAAGGAAAAGAAAGAAAAAGTCCTAATCCAATATGACTCCTATCTTCATAAAAATGAGAAATTGGGACCTAAACACAGATCGCGCACAGATGGAAGTTGATGTGAACAGACAGAAGACAGCTTTCTCTCCCTAACAGATCTCAGAAGGAACCAAGCCTGCTGACACTTTGATTTTTGATTCTAACCTCCAGAACTATGAGATAACTTTCTGTTGTTGCAGCCACCCTGTCTGTGGTACTTTGTTACAGCAGCCTTAGCAATAATTCATACATTCTTAGCACTTATTTCCTTTATGGACCATGGACAAATTCCTAGACCATTTTCTGCCTTGATTTTCATTTGTAAAATGGGGCTAATGATGAAACAACCTCGTAGGGTTATACCCAGATTGAATAAAATAATACTTATAAAATGCTTAGTACAATGAGTGGTTACCCATCACCATTATAGCAATGTTAGGATTATTCAGATTAGGATTCATGTTATGGCTCTGGTTGCTTTTTGAATAGGACTAATTTTATTTGTTATCCTGTGACATACCTTTTAGATATCTCACTTAAGTTTGTTGTTTACTTTTTTTTTCTTTTTTAGTTTTTTGCCATAAGGGCATGTGAACTTACTGGAGAGAGACACACAGAGAGAAACAGTGAGAGGGAAACTGAGAAATCACCCCCCAGCAGGTTGGCTACACTGCAATTCCTCCTCCTCCATACTCCTCCTGGGGATTTGGGCACACACACACACACACACACACACACACACACAAGCTGCCAGGTCTAGGACTCGAACTGCAGTTGGCCATTTGGGAGTCCAACCCTTAATCACCATACCAACTGCTGGGTCTGTTGTTTGTTTTTTATAAAGAAAGGTATTAAGAAGGGACTTAGTAGATCCAGGCTTGAGCTGAGGCATAATGCAGTCAGATGCATGGTGTGACCTTAGGCAAGTCTCTCAGCTTCCACGTGCCCCATTTGTCCATATTAACAGATGGTATACTATAGATAATTCCTACCCTATGTGGGAACAGACAGGCCTGGTGTGAAGATAAGATGAGATAATAAATATGAAAGTTTTAAAAGGCAGAAGTAATCTATACAAACATAATGATCACTGCTAGCACATTTAAGCAGCCTTTACAAATTTACAAAGTGGTCCCATATGCATTATCTCATTAAATTCCTACTTGTACCCTCTGATGAACATATTATTTAATCCAGATCTTCTGACTCAAAATCAGAGGCCAGATGGTATTTTGCATGTTGATTTACCCCCTTTGTCTTTAATCTTTTTTGTTTTTTGGGAATGAATGTATTTACCATTTCAACTTTGATTTTAAAAATGATCATTGATATTTTTAATAGTGTTAACCAAGAGATTAATAAAAGATTTCTTTCCTGCGATGGATTAGCTGATGGCATTTAAAGATGGAAAGATGTGTAACTTCTTTGACATTCGATGGCATTGTACCTACCTTTGTTCTAAGACCTATTGCATACCAATTATAATTACATCGATTCAAGTTTTTTTTAAAAGATATTTTTGCTATAGGATACATGCACTTGCTGCAGAGAGAGAGAGAGAGACAGACAAAGTTTTTTTAAAAGATATTTTTGCTATAGGATACATGCACTTGCTGCAGAGAGAGAGAGAGAGACAGACAAAGTTTTTTTAAAAGATATTTTTGCTATAGGATACATGCACTTGCTGCAGAGACAGAGAGAGAGAGACAGACAGAAAGTGTAAAAGCATGTGGGATGGCCATACCACAATCCCTTCTTCTCCATTCTCCTCTTAGGATCTTGGGCACACACACACACACACACGCACAAACACACACATGCCTGACATGAGTTTTAAACCACTGTGTCTAGGACTTAAACTGTGGTCTACTATGTAGGAATTTAGCAACATAAACATTACACTATCTGCTGGTGCCAATTAAAGTTGTTTTTAAAAGATCCCATGGGATCTTTTAGCATAATGGCTATGTCACTGGACTCCCATGTAGTTGACCATGGTTCAAGTCCCGGACCCAGTGTCTTAAACTCATGCCAGGTGCATGTGTAT